TACCTGCAACAATAATCACTGCACCTTACCCGACAATGGCCCTATTGCAAGTCGTATCCGTGCACAGGACACGGCTTGTCGCCATGCTCCTCCTCCTCCTACTCCTCGCCGCCGTCACCGTCCATACCCTACGGACCCGGCGCACGCGCACGCGCCTCCGCAAACTCGGAACCCACCAGGGCCATTTGCTCCCGCTCCCGCCCGGACCTCCGGGCGAACCAATCCTCGGCCACCTCCGCATCGTCCCGACCGACAACCCAGAACACGCCTACGCCGCCTGGTCAAAAGAATACCGCTCCGACGTGCTCTACTTCAACGTCCTAGGCCAGCCCATCATCGTCCTCAACTCTGTCCGCGCCGCCGTTGATTTGCTCGATAAGCGGGGCGCAAACTACTGCGACCGCCCGCGCTTCGTGCTATTCGAAGAGATGGGCTGGCGCAAGACGCTGACGTTTATGCGGTGGGGCTCGGAGTTCCGTATGCATCGCAGCATCCTGCAGCGGAGCTTTTCAAAGACGAGTGTGCAGGTTTATCGCGAGCTACAGGAGAGGGAGGCGTTGATTTTGGTCAGGGGGATTATACGAGACCCTGGGTCTTGGGAGACGGCGTTGCGGAGGTTTGCGACGGCTATTGTGATGAGGATTGGGTTCGGTGTTAGTGTTGAGAGTGATACCGACCCGTACATCCAAATGGCCACGGATGCATCCTACGCGCTCGGCCACGGCGGGGCGCCGGCTGGGACGCTGGTTGACTTCTTCCCCTTTGTGCGGCATCTACCAGACTGGCTGGTGAGAGACCGATCACTCCGCTTCGCGCGGACCTGGAGCTGGGCGATCCGCCAGATCCACGACGCTCCCTACGCCGCCGTGACGGCCAAGAGGACCCAGGACCAAGAACACAGTCTCACTAAAATGCTGCTGGAGCAGAGGGCAGAGCAGATCAAATCAGGCATCGCGCCAGAGCTGTCGGTAGACGACATCAAGGGTGCCGCGGCGGCGGTCTATGCCGCGGGGCAGGACACGACGTGGTCGACGCTGGTAGTCTTCGTCCTTAACATGGTTCTGCACCCTGAGGTCCAAGAAAAAGCGCAGAAGATGCTGGACGAGGTCGTCGGGGATGGAAGGATGCCTTGCTTCGAGGACCGGCCGAGACTACCGTACATTGACTATATCGTCCAGGAGACGCTGCGGTGGTGCCCCGTATCCCCGCTCGGTGTGCCGCACCGCTCGCTGGAGGATGATGTGTACGACGGCATGTTTATACCAAAGGGATCGTTCGTGTATGCCAACGCGCGGGCGATGACGCACGATGAGCGGACGTATGCTGATCCTGAGGCATTTGACCCGGAGAGGTACGTCCCTGTTGAACAGGGCGGCCGCGGGGAGCCGTTTCCTGTGGGGCAGTTTGGGTTCGGGAGGAGGGTTTGCGTTGGAAAGCATCTTGCGGAGGCGAGCATTTGGATTGTGATTGCTTCAATGCTCGCGACGGTTAAGATTGAGAGGGTGAGAGGGCCGAGGGGGGAGGAGATTATACCGCTGGTGGAGTTGACAAATGGACTTACGAGTCACCCGAAGCGATTCCCGTGCCGGATTATACCCAGGAGTCCTCGTAGTGCAGAGATGGTTATTTCAGCAACGTTATAGGTGAATCCTACTGTGGGATTATAGAATGAGTATATTGTAGTATAACTTGCATGCGTAGCTGGTCATCATTGCTGGATGTCGTAAATATCCCCTTTACTTCGGACGCTAACCGCCAAACGACCTAGAACGATACTATGCAGTACGAGTCTTTGAACACTATAATACCAATCACGTGAGGTTCCGTTTGTCTACATGTTATACACTTGGCGGTAGCGGAATTATCGAACTTTACTAGTGTCCAAGATTCAAGGAGATATTAAGTAACTATCAAGCTAAAAGTACAACTACAGACAAAGGAGATCTATAAAATCGACTATAGCCATCCCTGCTATGGTATCATCAAACTCGTGAATCAGGCATAAGCCACCAACGCCAATCTACCCCAATCGTTCAAATGAGTGTCTATGATATTAACAATCATCCTTTACTTGGACCCGTTGATCTTGCCGTTGTTCTCGCTCTGCATGGCCTGCATACCGGCGTTCATCTTGCCAAACTGCCACTCAGGCAGAGTGATGCCAGTCTGCTCGTTGATGGTCGTCATCAGGGGAGGCAGCATCTGGTAGACGTTGCGCATGGTATCAATGCCAGAGTTGCCACCTCCCTCGCCAGAACCCTGGCTACCCGTGTTCCAGACGCTGATCTTGGGCTGCAGGCCGCGGATGGCCTCGGCATTGGCCTTTGCGAGCTGGACGTAGGTGCCCTTCTCGATCATGAGGTACTGCAGCAGACCCGCGGGACCGCCAAAGGCAGTCGACATCTTGCCGTAGGCGTCCGCCATGGCGGCCATTCCCTCGGCCTTCTTGAGCATGATGGCCAGGTCGGCCTCGGCGTTGAGCTGGGCAGAGTACTGGTGCGCCTCGGCGTCCTGGCGGGCCTTGTAGGCGTTGGCGTCGGCCGTCTTGGTGGTGCGGTTGAACTCGGCTGAGGTGTGCGCGTCGGCATCCTTTTGCGTCTTGAAGGCCTTTGCCTCGGTCTCGCGCTGGCTCTTCTCAAAGTTGGCCTTGGCGTCGGCCTCAATGGCGTATGCCTCAGCGTCGGCCTTTTGCTGGCGGGCCTCACGCTCGATGGTGGCCTTTACGACCTCGGTGGCACGCAGGCGCTCAATCTCGGCGGCGGCGCGCTTGACCTCGACCTCGCGCTTGAGGTCCTCGTCCTTGGACTCGAGGGCGCGGCGGGCCTCGACGCGGGCGATCTCGACGTCCTTGCTGAGGGAGGCCTGGCGGGTGTCGAGGTTGGCCTCGGCGGTGGCGCGCTCGATGTCGCGGTCCGTCTTCTGGACGGCGGTTTCGGCGTTGATCTTTGCAATCTCGCGCTCCTGCTCGCCCTTGCGCTTCGACTCGCCGACGTTACCGCGCAGCTGGGCCTCGGCGACGTCGATCCTGGCCTGGTTGCTGGCGCCCTCGTGGGCCTTGCGGGAGAGGGACTCAAAGTAGTTTGAGTTGGGGGCGTCCTTGAGCTCCTTTACGTTTGCATTGTAGATCTTGAGGCCGAACTGGCTGAGCTCGGACTGGATGTTGCGGAAGATGCGGCGCTTGAAGACCTCGCGCTCGGTGAAGATCTCCTCCATGGTCATGCTGGAGACCAGGACACGGACCTCACCCTCGATGATGCCCTTGACGATGTTCTCGAGGTGGACGAGGGAGCTGGTCTTCTTGTCGGCGGACTCGGCGAGGAGCATGGCATACTTCATGAGAGCGTCGCCGCGGTCCTCGCGGCGGTTGGAGGAAATGTAGCTGTCGTCCTCATCGTGTTGCTGCTGGTCGGAGGTCTCGGAGTGGTGGCTCGATTGGTGAGCGGCGTTGGCACCGCGCTGGTTGACATCGGGGCCTACAGTGAAAACAACGGGCAGGAGGAATTGAAGCTTCTCCTTGGTCATGGCCTGGAGGCTCATAGCATAGTCGTGGGGAGTGATGCGGAAGCGCATGCAGCGTTGAAAGGGCCATACCCAGGCGGCCTTTGTGATCTTGACCGTCTTCACGGACATACCCGTGATGGCGAGGTATTCATCGGGGGCGGCGACTCTGTACGACATTTTGGCGGTGTTGTATGGGTGGAAGTGAGTGAGGGTAAGGTAAAGATGGAGGTAGGGTTGGCAGAGGGAGAAGAGGGTGAGATCTTTAAAAGTGGCCGCTTCTCAACGAGTCTGTTACGAGAAGTTCGAGTAGTATATAAATGGATGTTTGGAGCAGACGTTGCTGGCGTAGATTGCTCGTTGGATTTGTAGAGTGATCCCCCTGTGATAGACAAGAAGACTCGGGGTATCTTGAGGTAGCTCTATGTTGGTGTGACACAACACTGCAAATAGGAGGAACCATTCTATTATATACCTTGGGAGCACGCGAGGCAGATCGAAGCTCTACCTAAGCTCTAAGCTCAAGAATGGACTCACATCATGTCACCTACCTTGGCATCTCGGGTAAGGTAGTTCATGGCTGGGGGCAGACGCCCAGCCAAGCAAGCAACTTAGCGGCGGTAAACGGTTGCGACTAGCGTGTGACCCATTCATGACCAGGCGTTCTCGTTACACGACATACCATTCTGGCAGCCTATGAAATGAGCCTCGTGGCAAGGCATAGCATTATTGGAGGGCGGAGGATGCGATTGGGCGGTGTCATTGGTGAATGGTCACCGTCAGAACATCGCTCCGTTGGTGGCGGCAGTGCATATGGTAAGACCTTCCTTCACCCTTGGACGGTTGGACCTGTAGGTGGAGGAAATGGCGGAAAGAGAGTAGCTGGATTGGTCCTTTGAATTCCGCATCAGACGGCAGGCACCCGGTTAGTCAGTCCTACCTCTCCACGTGACTTTTTCGGAATATTCGAACCAATCATAACACTCCTGTGGCTGGGTCAAGTCAGCGGGTGTGGCTAGTGCGCGCTAGACTTCTTCTCGAAGCCTGCCTTATATGGATGCCTGGAGTCACCTAATCGCCGAATGTGGCTGATCTGGGGAAATTAAGGTGTCGATCCACTCCACCGCTTCCCATCTGAGGCCCTCCACCTCTTCGCTCGACACCATCGACAACACCCTCACTTTCATGGTTTCGCCAGGTCAGACATGCATCAAAAGGCGCCAGAAGATGCAGGGACGGGCTAACTCGAGTGCACAGGCCCGAGTCAGATCATCCACGTTCTCTTCTATACAACATAGACCCTCTCAGACGGCATAGTCTGCTGCTAGAATTCCAGGCAGCGCAAGATGAAGGCCTGTAATTCCCGTCACCGAACGCTTACTTTGCTATTGCATGCCAACATATCTTGCGGCTGAAACGGGCATCTTAATCACGCAGCATCAACATCAAGAAATCGCTCACATATCCACATCAACTTCGAACTCAATTCGACCTTCTTTTCCCTAGGCGATGACCGAGCCTAGGGTCTGATTTTCCCTCATGTCAATCGACGAGCGGGCCTCATTCTCGGTCACCTGTTCCGGGAATGCTGAGCGATGGCGGCGCGCTAGTGTCTCCTTGAGCCCTTCTGATAGGAACCAGCTGCGGCGCAGCACAGCACAGCACTTTAGTCGGGCGCATTTCCCTCCTCCTCTCCTTTTCGGCACCTTCGCCAGGCACTCGAAAACGCCTCCGAGAACCCTTGGAACCTGCCATTAGCGTATCCGATAATCGTCGAGTGGCCTTTACAGCGCCTGCTTGTCTTCCTTCGCCCAGCCGCACTGCCGCCTGAACCGACCCCAAGAGAGGCTATCCAAGGATCTACAACACCCACGAACCAACTCACAGCCTCAATCCATGTCTGCCCTTTGACGCAACATAATCATACACATCCGCCCCTGCATACCATTGATCGCCCAGAGGACCCCGTGACCACGAAACCCGATAATCTCCGCCACCATCCCCGGATCCTGAGTCCGACTGCATGCTGTTCGTGCAGGTCTTGCGGTCACAAGAGTTCAGCCCTGTAGAAGTCGAACCGATGCTCCCATCGGCGTCGGCCGAGAGCATTGCAACTACCTAGATACTACGGAGTACGTCGAGCCGTGTTCCCACTCTTTCGTCATTGCGGAATCCCCATCTCGGCACCCAAAGTCGTTGCCTGCCTCTTCTGATCCTTCAAGGTCCAGTCACCATTGCGGCACGCACCCGATGCCAGAGTCGCCCGAGGCGTTTTTGGCACAAAGAGCTCAGGCTTACTGTTCATCTATCAAGGTCATTCACTCAGTGACCCACGAACGACGGACTTCCAATCATCTCCCTTACGACTGCATCAGCCCGACGAGCTCATTTTCACGCAAATCTCAGTCTGTGTTGCAGAAGCCTGACCACAAAGCATCAATTCAATTCCAAACCTACTCACGATACTGTTACCATGTCGAAGAACCCTGACGGAGACGGGGATCTGCCCCCCTCGTACAACGAGGCAACGACATCATACCACTCATCGTCGTCACTCAACCACAACTCATCGGTCTCAGTGACCCTCAACAACCTCTCTTTCTTGCTCCGCGAAACGCAAGCTCAGCAGACCGCCCGTGATACCGTCACGACAACAACCCTTCTTCCGCTCCTAACGCCCCACATCACGTCACTCTTGACACGTCTAGGAACGACTCCTCACCCACCGATTTCAACAGAGCTCTATCTCGTGCCCGCTGCGGCAGTCGGTCCAGAATGGATCATCGCTTCAGATGCCGACCCAAAGGCAGGCCAGGTCGCGGAGGTCATCCGCGTGGAACCGGAGCCCGACCCCGATTCTAAGGGAAGGGGTGGCACCAAGGGTCAAAGCACGGGCGCAGCCTCCGGAAATGCAGTTGTAGGTTCCCCCTATGAATTCGACGAATGGGGCCGCTGGGACGACGACGTCAATACAGGTGCGTCGACGTCAAGGGAAGGAGAATGGTGGTGGAGCGATGAAGGTCTGGCCCGGCGTCTCGCGAAACGGCTACAGCCCGAACCAAAACTCGACCGTACCGTCGTCCGTGCCGTCGTAGAAGAAGCAAAAGAGGATAAAAAGGCCGGCCGCTGGGGGCTATTCAGAGCGGGCACAGATCCTTCATCGTCACCTTCGTCGTCCTCATCGGGCCCCCCGCCTTCTCGACAGTTTATGAAGCCCACGTCTCCTTCCACAACATTCGAGGAAAATGTTACAATGACGGTGCGCGGGGAGGAAGTCACCTTTCGCCGGGAAAACGAGATGGGAATATGGGAGAGCATGCGCGGATTTGGAATCGTGGTAAGAGTGAGGATACGAAGGACATGAGGCTTTGATACCCGAGTCTCCACCAGATCACAAGTGTTAGAAGGCTAGCAGGTCCGAGACAGACAAACATACCTCTCTGGCACCTTCGCAATTCGGATTATTTTTATCGTCCGCTTCAGACCTATCTATCCGAGCCACAGCTTATTGCTGACCAACTTATCGGTACCCTGCACTGATGAGGGATTCTAGCCGACCAATGAGACGAACTAATGCTAGGGGGATGCATCTCTTTCGTCCGAAATTCGATCGAATTCTGGCTTACTGACGATAACTTACGGATTGCCATCGAGTAACGACATCGATATCGGGTGACATTGGCGATAATGTCCAGTAGCTAATAACTTATAAGATATATGTCTTGTAAACGCATGGTAAAACTTTCCAACTTCGGGACACAGTAACCCAAAGATAACGTTGACCCGAAAGCACTCGCTCCAAACTCCTCAGCCATGGTCTCCCTTCACGTAGTAAACCAATCCAACGCCCTCATCGCATCTCTCCCAAAGGGCTTAGTAGCAGTCTTCATCGGCGCAACATCAGGCATCGGCAAAAGCACCCTCCAGCACCTTGCTCAACACGCGCGCTCCCCACACATCTACACCGTGGCGCGCCCTCAGACCGTCGCATCTCACGAGACCTTCCTTGCCTCGCTGCGCGCAAGCACAAACCCAGATGCCAGCTACACCCTCCTCCCCGCAGATCATGCCCTGATATCCGACATTGACGCCGCCATGGAGACCGTTCTCCAAAGGGAAACAAAAGTCGACATCCTTTTCCTCTCCGCGGGATTCATCGCCTTTGAAGGACGCCAAAACACCGTAGAAGGGCTGGACCCATCCATGTCGACGCGGTACTACGCCCGCCTCCGCGCCGTCCAAAAGCTCCTCCCCCTCCTCCACAAGGCGGCCCGCCCGCGCGTCGTATCGGTGCTGGCGGCGGGGCTAGAGGGTCCCATGCCCGACGAGGAGGACCTCGACCTCCGGAAGCCCGGGAATTGGGGTTACTGGCCTGCTTCCGTGCAGGCTACGACCATGGGTACGCTCGCGCTTGAGGTGTTGGCGAGGGAGAACCCGGGGGTGAGTTTTGTGCATTCTATGCCTGGACCCGTGGCGACGCCTGGGTTGGAGAGGGCGAGGGGGTTTGGGGTGGACGTTAGGGGGGAGATGGGTGTTGAGGAGGCGGGTCAGAGGGGGTTATTTTTGGCGACGAGTGATTTGTACGATTCTCGGGGGCGGGAGGGAGTTGTGAGGGTTCCTGGAGGGGTCGAGGGTGTAAAAAGGTCCGGGGGTGGTGTGTTTTTGGTTGGTCCGGAAGGGGAGAGGGTTGACAATGAGGAAGTTTTGGGGGGTATGAGGGAGAGAGGGTTGGATGTGAAAGTGTGGAACTTTACTCGAGAATTGTTTGATAATTTTCTAGGCCGAAATGGAAAATTCAAGGAGCCCGTGTAGACTCTGACGGGATTGTTGGCTCTTGGGAAATTTCTCACTAGATACCCTATCAACTGCCAGATGACTCTTATTCATATCGTTCGTGCGGTGGGAAAGCATATGGCGTCTAAGTCCACCACTGTTTCCCCTTCATTTTACAAAGGCTTAAAAAAAAGTAGAGTCATCTTGAGACCAAACAAAATGCTGTATCTAACGATCAAAACTTTGATGGGATGCTGTCTTGGCCGGAGTGTCTGCTGGCTGATAGATAGTCCTTGCAAATGAACAATTTTAGATAACTTAGTGCGTAAGGTCGATGCCAGAGAAGTTAACTTGGGGAATAAAAATGGCCCCGGGGTAGTAAGGATGCGATTTTTCGGTTTTGATTTTGATAGAGTTAGTGATAATCGTCGCGGCCCGCATGGAGCTGGTGGAGTAATCCTCCTAGGAGACGTGACTAGCCTCGGCCCGATCTCAAGGGGGAAGCGCCAACGAGGTATTGTGACAGAGTTCCGATCACTAGCTTGCTTGATTACATAGCATCAATGGTCATTGCAATCCAGATAATCTCGTCATGGAACCATGCGATAGATCGAGAAATAATTCGGCGGGACCGCCTATCCGTGCGTTGAATGATCTAGACCGAAACCGGCTTCGATCTGAAGTCGATGCTGGCATTCTTTCAGGAATTGATGGACTATATATAAAGCATTCTTTGTGGTCATTCAACGCCACTGCTATCGAGATTGACGGAAATGGCATCGGAATGTCAGCGGTGCGGAGTCGAGCCACCTCGAGACCAATGAAGGCACTGCCGTGGCGGCTGCGAGGCTAACTCGGCCGCTCATCTAAGCGGGCTGAAGGAATCGTACATACGGGTAGTCCCTCTCGCTTGCCTCCTTCTTCCATTGAGGCAAGGTTCCCCATTTGATGCAAAACCGGAATCAAACCACGCTCTACAAATTCCCAAAAGTCAAATCGTGGTTGTCACCACTTAGGGAACCAGCGATTAAGGAGCAGATATCGAGGTGACAAACGACTCTGTCCAGGAAGGAAAAGAGCCGCATATCTTCCTCTTATCTCTCACTTTTTCAGTCATGCTTTGGGCACGGCTCGCACCGCCGTTACTCCTACTCTGCCTCAGTACCCTTACGAAAGCATCCAGCCTGGGCGACATTCCACCATGCGCAGTAAGTACTTTCCCACAATGCATTTCTTACCATTAAGTCTTGCTAATAAAAGGCAGGTACCTTGCCTACTGGATGCCATTCCAAAGTCGACATGCACTTCCGGTGATCAAGCATGCCTCTGCCATGATACTTCATACATAAACCTAGTCGAGACATGTGTCAGAGCGGATTGTTCAGTCAAAAATGCCCTGGGTCAGTGAATCGATGTTTCCGTCGGGATACCGAGACGGCACATTGCTAACCACATCTCCAGTCACGAAGAATATCACGCAGACGGAGTGCGGCTTTCCGGTTGAGGACGACTTCGCCGCTGTCAAGATCATGCGCCTGGTTCTGTTCTTCACACTTCCCACTTTCGCCATCATCATCCGATTAGTTGTGAAGATCGCCCGGATATCACCCTGGGGATTTGATGACAGTACCATTCTATTGACATATGTGAGTTACGACCCCTGGATTGGGAAAATATGATAAAGAAAAGTTTAATCCATGAGTCAAGATCATAATGTTTGGCTTCATACCGGTAAATTACGTCGGTAAGAAGATCCCTATGCATTCATAAAAGAAGTTTCGATAAATGGTGTGTTAATTCTCTCATAGCTGAACTTAACGGCGCCGGGCGAGATATTTGGAGTCTCACCTTCGACCAAATCGACCTTTACTTCTTGGTAATAACTTGCCCCTCTAACGACAACGCGTATTCAGACGAGAATACAACGCTGACTGGCTCCAGACATTTTATATCGGCCAACTACTCTATGTGTTCACGCTGACTCTGATCAAATCCTCTATACTATTCATGTACCTCCGAATCTTTCCCGGTGAGAAGTTTCGCTGGGTCTTGTGGACAACGCAAGTTGTTACCGTGGGGCTAGGGATGGGCTCCGTGTTCTTAGTGGCCTTTCAGTGTCAACCCGTCGGGAAAGCTTGGAAACAATGGACCGGGGAGGAGAGTGGTCACTGTATACCGGTGCCGCCGCTTGGCGTGGTCCATGGGGTGGTCAACATCGTACTAGACGTGTGGATGCTCATTCTACCGGCATCTCAAGTGCTTTTCCTGAACATGAAGCCTCGAAAGAAATGGGCGGTGATGTTGATGTTCAGTCTCGGCCTATTGTAAGCACTGTCCCTTGAACGCCAACTTCATCTCTGACATACGACTAACTACCCTACTACGATCAGCCTTACAATCTCCAGCGGTATACGACTGAGGGCGGTTTTGAGGTACACGACTGCGTCGACCAATCCAACTGGTGAGTAGAGCTTCGAATCATCCAAAAACAAACACTGTTTGGCGTGCTACTCTCAGCGGGACTGACCATCTCTAGTCGATGCAATGCCCGTCGCCGTGTGGTCAGACATAGAGCTCGACGTGGGCGTTTTCACGACCTGCATCCCAAACATTTGGCAATTCGTCCGCCGCTTTATTCTCAAAGACCCTAAACGAGTGGAGAAGTTGAGCTCGAGGAATGCTCAGAACCAAAATCTCGAGGAGTATCCACAGAAGTCGCCGGCACCGGCGTCGACGGAGGTCGGGGAGGAAGAGCTAAGATGATGCCAAGGCACAGCTTAGGAGGCTCAGCGTGATTCGCGGGTAATTCTTTACGCGGACGTGGGCTTTTTGGAAGACGTTCGTTAATTTGTATAAAGCAATAATAGATAGATACTTCCAACTGAGGTTTGTACAAAAGCTTCATGTTTTGCGCGTTGTCTAGATGCATCTGATTTGCAGCAAGATCTGGTGGACTGAGGCATGGTCGAAGTTATTTAGGACTAATGTAGCTCATGCAGGACGGACAGCCCGAAGAAGCCCGGACCAAATCTTCTTTGCAGTGGACTATAGCATACGGTGGAAGAGGCTACAAGATAGTTGGACGATGCGTGTTTTTTTAATAAGTATTCGGGGAGCACATCCGACGCTACGGTCATTATAGCCGAACCTCAGCTAAGAGTCGCACAAACCTGGAAATCTCCCGTTCTACAACCAAAGTAGCTAGAGATCGACGTTAGGGCTGAATCAAAAGTGAAATCGCAGGAGAAAACCCGGAATCTCGGTCTGTGTATAGTTGCATGGTAGAGTGATTGATGGTACCTTAGTAGCATCTTGGGATTCAACATATGTCGAGACCTAGCCTCAATTCTACAACCTAGATTTGACACTGCCAGATACCTCGATCTCGGCCGCCAAAGGCACGTTGCCGAGAGCTGTCGGGCCTTTGCTTCCTTCCATTAAGACATTATACGGCTCCTCCTGCTTCCCAATCTGTCTCCACTTCCAAAGCTTTGGTGGAATCTGGTCTTGGCCCTTCTTTTCCACTGCGTCTACGACCCAGTTACCAATGTTGGGAAGATACTTGAACGCGTGTCCACTCCCGCCAGTCGCAACCATAAGTGTCTCCTCGGTGTCGGGGACATGGTCAATCACAAAATGATTATCGTAGCTGTCCGTATACCAACACACTCTAGTGAAACAAACATCGATGCCTTCGGCGCCTAGCTCCGGTAGATTCTCTGCCAAGAATAAGCGCAAAACTTTCAGAGCTTGCTGGGGAATCGTCGTCAGGCGGTCATTAGTCGCATCGTTAGGATCGCTAGGCGCCGATGCACTCGACCACCGTGTTACGGGTACGCTGCGTTCCTTGCCGTCAGCTTGCTTGACGGGGTTTGTGTATTTGGTTCCGCGATAGCCGATCTTCAGCCAGCCATTCTCATCCCTAGGGAACCCGTACAGACCACCTTCAGCGCCGTCCCTCACCTTGTAAGTGAAGGTTGGGAAGTTTTCGGGTGCGAAACGAGTAAACAACGGCGATTCACGGGGTATTTTGAGCAGCACCACCGATCCTGCCGTCGTCTCACACAGACCGTCCATGGCTGGGAGTAAAGAAGGTGTCCAGCCACCACACGCCAGAATAGTCAGCTTCGCATAGTGCTCCTTGCCGTCTCGGGTGTTGATCCCGACAACCTTCTTCCCCTCGTAAATCAACGAGACAAGGGCACCAGCTTGCGAATCTAACACAAACTTGACGCCTTGGCTTCCTGCCTTATGTAGCGCAAAACGACAGGCCTTGTCAGCCACGGCCATGCCTCCCGTCGTGTCGAGAACGCCGGCCGCATTGAGGCCTCTTTGCAAACGTCGGAACGGGTCCATTCCGAACGACCATCCTTTTTCAGCAGCGATCTTTTGATGTTTCTCATCAATGGTGATCAGTTGAGTATTTCGATGCCCTGCTGCCTCCATGTTGTCAACGGTGTCCTGCTCGAATTGCGGCAGGGTTGCTGAGTCTGAGAGTGACAGGTTGCCGTTATTGACAAATACGCGGTCGTTGGTGGTTAGGCCGGGTGGGACTGTCTTCCCGCTTGCCAGCTCCTCGTTCCAAGCGGTCCAGCCCTCTAGCGCCTCAATGGTCAACCCTTGGTACTCCGTTTGTGCGCCATAAGCAGATCTGATGATTTTGTTCATGTCTCGATCGTCCATTAGCCTTCTGCCAGCAGCATTAGAAGAGTGATAAAGTTTCTTACCTGCAGAGGCTCCATCGGCGCCTTTAAAATACGAGTACAGACTTTCGTGGTAGGGCTGTTTGTCATAGACGGTGACGTTCCTGTATCCCCGGCGAGACAAGTGCAGCGCGGTGCTGAGACCAAAGATGCCGGCCCCGACGATGATGACCGCATCGTCCTTGTTAGGTGAGCGTGCCATGATTTCTGGCTGCGCTACTGCATGTACCGGTATAGCTGAGCAGAGTTCAAGAAAAAATGCAGAAGCTATTCTCGGGAGTTTTGGCCCCAAGACGTTCCAGAAGCTCTGGCCAGGTTTCGGAGAGGAGTCCGAAAGGATTGTTCGTACTTCAGTAGCGTACTGCTAAACTTTGGGCGACGAGGGGTCGACAGGCGAAAGATGGGAACACCAGCTCCCTGGAACGGCGTTGAACGGCCTTTTTCTCTTGGATCGAGCAAACTAGTCGAGTGCCGACAGGTCGTATGGTCTGATTATTCGGTAAACGCCGTGGCAACGCTGCTGGCCGGGTCGGAGCTAGAAGAAAGTGCGGGAGCTAAAGTCCCTGCGACGCCTGGATTGAGGAGCAACAGTGTTAACTAAACAATTCAACAACACGTCGAAGTTTGTGAGAGCCTGGTGACTTGTGACTGTGTGAACAAAATCACATTGGCAATGATTGGCGACTTAGCAGAGAGCAAGACCATAAACATTCAAATTGATATCAACAACTGCGCAACCAATTCAATTAGATAAGTTCATCCCCCAGTCGCCGTCACTATCAAAGATACATCCTCCCCTAACGGAGCACTCTGGTGCCGGGTGCCCCACGGGCCCTCCACCCACCGCGCGGTCTTGGGTCCGGTCCCGGCAGCTGATAACGTCCTAGTCTGTGTCGCTCTACGACCCCGCTCTCGTCATTTCGCAGTGTGCCGCAGGCATGGACACCCTTGCCCGGATTGTCCCGGATAACGATCCAGGGCTGTGGTTGGCAAGCTACTGCAAGTCCCATCAGAGCCGGTGACTGTCAACCTACCTTAGCCTGATACGGGTTACGCTGAAGGGGGGTTCGAGGAAGAATCCTATCTCAAAGGGATTCTTGGTCATGCGCCGTAGGGACGAATGGACTGGAAACCCCCGTCAGAGGTATCTACCCCGGATCTTGAGCTTGCACAGACGACGACCCTGCCGATTGGGACTCTTTGGTCAGCAAGCGAGGCATGCTCGAGGCAGGGTCGGGTAGGGGTTGAGCCAGACCGGACGTCTCTCTTTCGCATCTTGGCTCTGATAACGTCCAGCTGATGCATAACGAGCCAACAAATATGCAAACAGGTTGACATATAGATACCGATTGGGCAACTCCCTGTCCGATGATATATCGCAGGACCCATCGACAAGACACACGACTCCTTTGGTTCATCTAATTACTCACTTGTCGCCAAAGGTTTCATCTGCTCACTACCTATACAACGCGGTCGAGTTCTCGTGCCAACCATACAGACGGTGCCGATTTGCCGGATCATTACTCGGACTCAAGAAGGACAACGCGTCGTCCTCTGTAAGATGGGTGTCAAGCAAGTCTTCACGGAGTCGACCTTCGCCAAGTACATCACAGCAATCAGGGAGTCGCCTCGAGAACTCATCTCGAACCGAAAGCTCTTGCTCACCGCTGCCCTCTATGCCACGAGTGGCATCCCCATCAGTAAGAAGACTCCGTTCACCATCATTGGCATTTCCAAGATGCACCGGCTGACCGGTCAACATAGCATGGGATCAAGGCTCCTCCTCGGTGGTGCCGTCCCTTCCCGGTTTCCAGAAGGACTTTGGAATCACATCGGCCACGAACCCTACTCAAGTCTCCAACTTCATCTCTTTCGTCTACATCGGAGCTGGCATCGGCGCCGGCTTGTCATTCTTCCTCAATGATCGCATCGGGAGAATGTGGTCCTATCGCCTCTACATGACCATCTGGATCATCGGACAAATCATCGCGACCGTGTCGATGGGTAACATCGGTGCACTCTACTTTGCTCGCATCGTCTCCGGCATGGGTATTGGTGCCCTCACAGTCACTGGACCTGTCAGTATCGTCGAGATTGCCCCTACAGAGATTCGTGGTCTCCTGGCGGTCTGGTTCAGCGTTGCCATGCTGCTTTCCTTGACTGTGTCGGTCTTCATCGTCTACGCCTGCTTCATCCATGTCGCTGTCGGGAGGCTCCAGTATCAGATCGTCTTCTTCTCTCCGACTATCGTTATGGCCATCCTCATTGCGGCAAGCTTCCTGCTCTATGAAAGTCCACGCTGGTTGTTCATTGCCAGACGGGACGATGAGGCGATCCAGAATCTGACGGCTCTCCGAGGGCTGCCGGTAGATCACCCCCGGGTGGCAACCGAGATCGAAGACATCAAGGACCAGATCTCCAAAGAGGAAGAGAAGTTTGGACGCAACCCCGGCTTCGTCGTGCTGGTGAAGGATGCCTTCTTGGTCCCCTCAAACCTGCGTCGTGTGCAACAGGCCGTTCTGTCGTACGCTCTCGCTCAACTTTCCGGAGCAAACAGCGTCACGTCTTACCTCGTCCCCATCCTGAGCATGCTGGGACTAGGTGGTGGCACTGCCCGTAGTTTGTTCCTCAGCGGCATGTACAGCATGGCCAAATTCTTCTTCACTCTGATTGCCAGTTTTTTCTTCATCGATGCCCTCGGTCGCCGTCGCAGTCTGTTCACGGGTATCACTATCCAGATGATTTCTGATCTGTACATTGGTGTCTTCATCAAGTATCGCCAGGAGGGCAATGTTGCACCGGGATCTAGCGAAGCTGCTATCGCCGCTGTTTTCATTCATGGATTCGGATACGCTGTCGGTGAGTAGACCAAAGATATGTGACAGGTCGAATAAAACAACATGCTAATACTTCTGCAGGTCTCCTCGTTCTACCTTATGTCTTCGGTGCAGAGCTGTGGCCCAACCATCTCCGCTCCTTCGGCAGCGCCTTTTCACAGTTTTTCCACTGGCTCTTTTTCTTCGGCGTCAACAAGGGTATGCCTTCGCTGCTCAGCCAGAC